TTTTTTAAAGATTTTATTTATTTATTTGACAGAGAGAGAGACAGCGAGAGAGGGAACAGAAGCAGGGGGAGCGGGAGAGGGAGAAGCGGGCCTCCCGCGGAGCAGGGAGCCCGATGCGGGGCTCGATCCCAGGACCCTGGGACCATGACCCAAGCCGAAGGCAGACACCTAACTGACTGAGCCACCCAGGCACCCTTCTTTAAAGGTTTTATTTATTTATTTGACAGACAGACAGCGAGAGAGGGAACACAAGCAGGGGGAGCGGGAGAGGGAGAAGCAGGCTTCCCGCCTATCAGGGAGCCCGACGCGGGGCCCGATCCCAGGACCCCGGGATCACGACCTGAGCCGAAGGCAGACGCCTAACGCCTGAGCCCCCCAGGCGCCCCCAGAACCAGTACTTCTCAAGCACCTCTTCTGATGCAGCTGCAGCTGGGCACCGAGGGGGCTGAGCAGTGAAAGCATCCAGCTGATGAGACCCTTTCTTATACTTAAGGTGATAAAGAAAGAAAAGCAAGTACAATGGACCAAATGTGTGCGTTCCCCTCAAATTCCTACACTGAGGCCAATTCCCAATTTGACAGTATTTGGAAGCGGGGCCTTTGGGAGGTGATTTGGGTCATGAGGGTGGAGTGGCTCACGGATGGAACTGGGGCCCTGATGAAAGACACCCCAGAGAGCTGTGCTCTGCTTTCTACCATGTGAGAACTCAGTGAGAGGGTGGTAGCGTGGCAACCTGGAAGAGGGTGCTCAGCAGCACCCAACCGTGCTGGTCCCTGACCATGGACTTTCCAGCCCCCAGAACTGCGAGAAAGGAATGCTGAAGCCCCCTGGTCCATGGTATTTTGTTAGAGCGGTCCGAACGGACTAACGCAGGGTACTGAGATGTTGGGGTGGCTCTGGAACAGGGTGATGGGCAGAGGCTGGGAGAGTTCTGAGGTGCGCACTCAAGAATGCCCAGAGTGCCGCGAATGGACTCTCATAGGCACGTGCTGGTGAGAGCTCAGAAAGAAAAAGAGAGCTAGGGAGAGAGCTTCTGTCTTCTGAAGGAACAGCTATGTAATCATGAACAGAACGGTAGCAGGAATATGGACGGTAAAGGCCATTCTGATGAGTTCTCAGACAGAAATGAGGAACGGTTAGCGGATAATAGAGAAATGGCAACTCTCGTTATAAAGTGACAGACAATCTGAATTGTGTTTGTGTTCCAGTGTTTCGTGGAAGGTAGAACTTGCGAGCAGTGACTCTGGGTATTAGCTGAGGAGACTGCTAAGCAAAGTGCTGAGGGGCGGCTTGGTTCCTCCTGACTGCTTAGAGTAAAATGAGAGAAGAGAGAAACGACATGAATGTGGATTAAGCAAAAAGGAGCCAGAACTTAAAAGATCTGGGAAATTTTCAGCCAACCCATACTGTAAGAAATGAGCATGTGTGTTTGGAAGAGAACATGGAGGGTATGGCCACATGAGGCTTTGCTAAAGGGATTAGTGTGGTGTGAACCACGGACCACATCAGCTGCTCCAGCAGGAAAACCACAAAACAAAATAAAAGGAAAGAGACAGGAAGGAATGAAGGAAGACTATCAAACATCTTGGGTTTTACAGGACAGAACTACGGAGCTATTTGGCTGTGAACATGCAATATTCTTCAAGATGAGAAAAGAATGATCCCGAGGTGGTCCAGAGATCATCATGGCTGCCTGCTTGTTTTCAAAAAGGAGAACAATTGCCTTGCTTTTAACAGGCCTGGTGGACTCTGCCCCAGTGGGTCCAGAAGGCAGACCGTCCCCCAGAGGGCTTGGAGGGCAGAGAATCCAGCCAAAATGGATTACTCCCAAGCCTGGAGATCTCACGAATTTTGCCCTGCTTGGTTTTGGACTTGCTTGGGATCTGTCACCCTTTCCTTCTTCCCCATTTCTTTTGGAATGGGGATGTCTCTCCTGTTACTGCTGGGGCAGTGTATTCTGGAAGCATGTAACTTGTTGGTTTTCACACGTTCGCAGCTGGAGACAAATTTTGCCTCAGGATGAATTATACCTAGGGTCTCATCCCTATCCCTGACTTAGATGATGTTTACATGAGACTTTAGAGCTGATCCTGGAATGGGTTAAGACTTCAGGGTGGTTGTGATGGAATGAATGTATTTCGCATTTGAGAAAGACATGCATTTTGGGGGGCCAGGGGAGGAATGCTGTGGACTGGATGTTTATATCCCCCAGAA